TCATATGACGGACATCATCAGAGCGAGGTAACATCGTCACAACAAAATTCAAGCTGACGAGTCAAGAAAAGTCACCGGCAAATTCCTAAAAACTGGTATATATACTCTAAATCTGGCCACTTTGATTAAGTATAAAATGATTTAGTTAGTTAAGGTCATATGTCAACTTTGATGCCTGTGAGTGTGTCTGTCTCTGTAGGTGTATGTGCCTGTTTGTGTTCGCTTATGCACGAAACCCGCAGTGATGACTCAAAGTAATTAGGACAGTAAAAAGGAACGTCTGTTTTTGGCCATCAAGGTTTGATGACCCCTATCTCGCCCTTTCTACATTTAAGTTATAACCATCAATCCGATTGCGCAAGCTCGAAGACACCGCTGGTTTTGTTGATGAGCCTATTTTTTATTATGGGGACTTTCGTTTCGTATGAAAGTGCATTAAGAAGAGATTCGTTGGTCGATCTCACCAAATGAGGACGGATGAATCTCGTTGTACTGGGGCGTTTGGCTTTTATACGATATTCATTTTGACGCAGTCCACGGGACTTCCTGCCTTGTTTCGGGTGAAAACGTGCTGAGCCTTCATCCATCATATGATGGACATCATCCGAGCTGGGTGCCATTCTTGTAAAAGTCAAACGTTAACACTAGGCCAAGAAGACTATCCGGCTTTTTCTTACCTCTTATATAGACTCAATAAGGCATAAGGGATAGAAGAGCGATATAAACGGCGGAGACCATTGATAATTTGCTATTAGTAGATAAGTTTGATCATAGATGTGATCCATGAAGGATTGAATAAGAGATTTATTTGTTGTACATGCGGTACATTGACAAGGTAATCTGTAGCTTTAAGTTAGCTTTTCATTCTAATTGAGCATCAAGACTTTAGGGGCTTGCTCAGTGAGGCTGGCGTATACGTGCTATGTAAAGCCTTAAGCGGAGTGTAGAACATGTCTGAAGTAGCTTGGAGACGGTGGCAGCGATTGAACCAGGCAGATAAGGAAAGGATCTTACGATCGGGGATCAACACTCCCAGCACAATGGAGGGGATGAGGGAATCAGTAGGAAGTGTGAATATGTCTCATGTAATCTGGTCAAAAGGACACATCTCAAATAGGTTTAGATAAACAAGTAAGACATTGTGATATCGAAAGGGTGATACGAGGATATAAGATAGGTGAATACCCCAAAACAGAAGAAGAGATACCACAACAGTTTAGCAGACAATTGGACAAAGGATCTATTTTTGCAAAAATGAATTTCAGTTCTGACGATAGCTGTTGAGTGGCAAAACGAACAAAAGTTAAAGTCTCTTCCTCCCGAAACAAGGGAAGAGGTCCCGGAAATTGCATCGAAATAACCATTGAATTAAAGGCAAACTGCTATAGAACAACGACACCCAGCCATCATTTTTTGGAGAGATCGAACTGCGAAACTCTTCGTTATACACCTTAATAGAGAATTAAATTTCCACAGCAAGTCAAAATGTGATTAAAATCGACCTGCATATACGATACCTCTGGAAAAATAAAGGTGTGCAGCTGTAAAGGTCCATATCCAAAAAAATAAAAAGGTCACGTTGCAAAATTATTAAAATTGTGCAAAGCACCAAGCTTCGCACATCAATGCAGGGCTCAAAAATCCGTATTCCTGATTCCCAACAACGGTTGCAGCAAGTAATAACCATCAATTATATTGATTTCTTTGCATGGAACAAGTTTGCAAGGTTATCGTAAATTAGACATATGGAAAAATTTAACGATTTCGAGTTATCTACTAACTCATTCAATGTGCGCATATAAAATCAAAATTACCAGTAAATTAAACAGCAATCACGTCTAAATTTCAAATACTTCAATCAGCATTTAATATGCAATTAATTTAAATGATATACCAGACTGATATTGTCATATTGTCTTCAGTTATGGGATTACAAATTTCAAGTAAATAACCAGCCCATGCATGCATACAGGCATATGAGCCTATAAACGAAGTTATTACTAGAATGGAAAGGCAATGATCATGGAATATGAAACCACTTGGAACCCTTACACAATGTCTGTAATGCAGATGGGCAACCAAATTAATGTGTAATGAACTCAGCATACCGCAATAATAGTCTCCTTCCCAGCAGAGAAGCCGGTTCGGAAGTATTACACTAGAATACCAAAGAATCCACATAAATCAAAGACCACTTAAGAAAAGACAGTAAAGACTGATGCAAGTTGGCGGCAAACTAAACGCATAGATTATTTTTTACTAATAGACTAATGAAATGACATAAATGAATATAATTGAAAAGGAGACTTTCTATTTAGCCAACTGGACCATCTTAATCGTCAAATCGGCATTTTCAAAGGCAATATTCAAAAGCGTGCACAAAATAATATGTTGGATTTCACAACCCTACATGCTCATATCTGGCCTTGTCATTCGAGGAGCTGAATAGCTAGTGTTGTCTTGCGGATTTGTTGTATAGTTTCTAACTTGGAGACTATTCGACCAAAAAGGCTACGTCAAATTTAAGAGCTATTGTGACATGGTCATATCAACCTCACATATTAACTGTAGATGTGAAGAGTAATTGCTTTTCAAAGAAGCTTCTAGGATAACATTGTTTCTGATAATGGTGATCTGCTGATATAAGGAAGATAAGAGATGCTATTGAAATTAATAGATTAGGGAATATGTTAAATGTAAGGAACGCTGATAAAAAATTAAGTAAAAACTACTTATACTTGATTAATAGAATAAAGGAGAGAGAACGTTGAGCCGCCATCTAAAAGAAGGCGATTCAATTTGTACGCTCAATGATGGTTCTAACCTCACTTACACTCCTCCAACATGTTAGACTAAGCTCATTAACCAAATCGGACAGAAAATTACGCAGCCACAGTCATGCCTTCCACAGTTGCTCACGGACTTACGCAGTCTCGGAAATGGCTTTTTCTGGAGGCATTAAGTCTTGATGTCCGAAGCCTAACATCAGCCTTATTTCACTCTGATTTTGCACCGGTATTGCGTGTCAACGATACAACATACACACACACACACAGACGAAGAAAATTAGCAGGACCAATATGAAAACTAATTAGCCAAATCATCCTATATCTATCTAAGCCTATTCATTTAGCTTTTTAGTTATGAGTGTGTACAGGATGTAAGATAGATTCGAATCGTTTTCTTTACCTAATATTAACGTGGGACTTTTACAGGAATGAGTTTCAGCTCTGATGATATGCATCATATGATGGACGAAAGCTCAGCCCGTTTCCACTTGAAACGAGGGAGGAAGTCTCGTGGACTACGTCAACCTGAACGCCGTATTTCAGTCGAATGGCTGCGGTACAACCGGAATAAACCGTCGTCTTCTTGTGAGATCGATCTTCGAATTGCTTTTTCGTGCCCTTTCATACTACAGGAAAGTCTTCTAACAATATTACACAGTAACTGCTTTCCTATTTTTATCAAAAACATTGTGTGATTCAAATTAAAAGTATCATATGAAGACTCGTTTTGACCTCGTTACAGCTATTCACTATCATTTCATGACTTAACTTTGATAACCTAGTAAATGTTATTTCTTTGCCTTATTAGTCATTAATTACCTTGAAATATAAAATACATTGCCCGACGTATTGCCTGCATCCGAGTTGAGCATCAGCACTTGGAAAAGCCAGTGAAATCACTGCAGCTTAGCATATAAAGCTTTCTCTGATGAGTAACCAGATTAGGCACGTTTGACAAAGTCTCCCAGTGAATAAAACAAATATGACCTGTCCATATCAAAGCAAGCCAATAAAAAGTGGACAGTGGGAATATTATTTTAAGCATTATATCAATTCAGGTAAAGTATGATGTAGAGTCCCACTTAATCGAAGAGGTGAGTGATCAGGTGTATTGGCGGTTTTCTTACATACGATATAGTAATAAGATATGTTTAGGGACGTCATTCCCAGAGAGTACCACATAGCCAAGCTAACAACGGTATTAGAAGTAAAGATAGGCACTTAACAACTATAGAAGAATACACAGAATCCATTTGGAGCTGATTAAGATATTTAACTAAAATAATAAATTTTGATCAATTTCTCATAAATTATTTTTTAATCTTCTTAATGACCTTTCGAGTTTAATAACCAACCGGACTTTGTTTTCAAATGTTGACGATTTAAGAACCTTGGCCTTGCAAGAGGCCTAATATGGTTACTATAATGTAAAGGTAAGGATATAGTGGGGAACACAGAATTAAAGTAATCTAGTAAAGATAGCATATGGCTATGACAGACAGCTTCCTACACTTTGTCTTTCTCAATATTCCTTAATGAACAATGCGAGTCTAGAAACGTGAATTGGTGGATAAATGATTCCAAATTTTGGCAAAAAAATGCAATTCAAAGTAAAGTATACTGATTTCAACACCAAATAGTGAGTTAGGATAATTTCGCGCAAAGGGTTATCTAATACTAGTCGAACTTTTTGCTACAGAGATGGATAAGAGTTTTAAAAGTGAAGCAACATCACTAGTAGTTTGGTGATTGAGGTGCTGGTCTGCCAAAAAGTAACCAAGGAAAATACCGACTGACTCCAGAAGGATGATATTATGTTTGAGCTTGTATTTCACTCTAAAAATCGTTGAAGTCTTCTTTAAAATTGGAATATTCTGCTCAGCAGCTGAAGATAATCAGAACTAAATCTAGCTTAAGAATATATTCGAGAATAAATTTTTCACTTACGCATGAAAGAAAATAGAGATGAAATAAAATGCAGGAAAATAAACTTACCCACATAGCCCGGAGTACCACAAGCTGTAGCCATATTCGAGTCACTGTCTTCGATTTTTGACAAGCCGAAATCGCTCACCATAATTTTGCTATCTTCTTCTGGGCTGTAATAGAGCAGATTTTCCGGCTATAAGAAAGATAAATTAAAAAAATGTGAAATTATGAGGCGGCTAAGAAAGCAGATGAGAAGGCTAGTTGTTGGGGCATATACCGGTGTAGGTTTTGCTAATTTCGTTGGTATACAGCATGAGTAAGATTCGAAAGAATCTAAAGATCTTTTATAAAAACTGAAGTATACTTAAGTCGCTTAATCTGGATGAAAACATGAGAGTTAAGTTTCCTAAAATTATGTAAGTTTAAGGCTATAAGATGTCAAAATTCGTCTTATACTTGCCTCCATTCCATTCAGGCTGAAGTGAAAGTTCGACTTCGCTTAGGTCTCATTATCATCCAAAATAAAAGCGGAGGCCGGGCCATTCGTGTCATGTCAATTTGATCTAATAGTAGCATCCGGGAATCTGAGATGGAGAGGAAGCGTTGCTGATTTAGGCTCATGGACTGATTTATAATCCCTTTGGGGAATACCGACGAGAGGCTTCATTCACTCATTCAATGTAAGAATCTCAACAATCAGGCCCTATATCACCTTAAGCGAACTAATTATTCTAGTTCTAATAAATTTCTATAACTTGCAAACGAAAGAATGAAAACCAAGATAATGTGGCCTCTATTTTGGCAGCGGTCTCTTTTCATTACATGGAAGTGATTTGATCTGGTGTTCGCAACTAGTTCATGTTATCAGAGGGACCCAGGTGAACGCATGTTGTCTGAATTCCCTTGACATACTAGTCATGATAACTCATGTGTAGAATCATGGATTTGGTAGATTCCCATGCTGAGATTGTCATTGCAATTATGGCAGATGACTAAGGACAAGATCAAACTACTTCTAGCTCTTTATAGAGTATCCTCAACTTACGATAAAAGAAAAAACATAATATTGGCACATTTTTGAAAAAGTATTTTCTTCCAGGTTTATCAAGACATAAGAGAAAAGTAAGTTTTGGAGCAATGATTTGAAAGCCTGTGCCTACAAGGAAAGACAAAAATGATAATATACTAATCTAAAAACAAGGCCATTTTAAAGATATGAAGAAAAACATGGTTTCGAAAAATTCCGTAGTGATATATTAACATGACTTTCCATTTAGAAGGAAAAGTTGGTTGGAAGCAATAATTGATGTGGTATCACCGGAATCAGAAGGAGCATTGCCGCGTAAAGAAGACTGTTGAATTGTACGAAGAAGTCCTCGGCCCATCGTCCTCTGACCCGGATGAAAATGTGCTAATCCTTCGCCTGCCCCACTATGATAGACATCATCAGAACGAAAGCCCATATTTCACGGAAGAGAAAAATATACTAAGCCAAGAGAAAAGCAGGCCGACTAGAACCCTGGTAACTCCTTTTATACACCTGAATTCGCGATCTAAATGGGGTATGCCAGAATTTAGCTGGTTATTTCAACCTTCAACCTCCTACCTGCTTGCAGATGAGTGAAGTTACTTCCCGAACCAGAAATAAGTACGTTGTAACTGGGTCCTAGTTGTGGCATCAGTCTCCATTTGGAAAGGAAAGTTGGTTAGAAGGACTTCGTGATGTGGGCTTACCGGAAACCGAAGGAGGATTGTCACGTTAGGTAGAATATTGAATTGTGTGTGCAAGTTTTCGGCCCACCGTCCTGCGACCCCGATGAAAATGTACAAAACTTTCGTCTTTACTGTGACAGACATCATCAGAGAAAGATTCCATACTTTACGAAATAGAGCAAAAATATAATAAACAAGGAGAGAAAGGGGGTCAGCTGCAACCCTTTTCGCTTTTTTATAGACTTAACATCGCGATCTTAATGAGGCCTCGCCTGATTTGGTTGGCTACTTCAACCGTACTCTACAAGCTTGCAAATGAGTGAAGTTACCTTCCCGAACTGGAAATGTGTTCGGTGGTAGCTGTTTCATCACACATCAAAACTAGCATATGATCACCTAGTGCTAAATCACGTTTGGGCTTGCGCTATTGCATATTGTATGTGATGCTCATTTCATGGGTAGTATGATAGTCATAGATAGACCCGAGGCCAATCCAGCCTCCTCTTGCTCAGTTGCTCTTCCTGCACCACCTCTCTCTCCCTTTCCTTTAGTCTGTCCAACAGTCACTAAATGTTCCAACTTAGCTTCCTACACTTGTTCCTCCTATTCAGGAAGTTGACTGTTTTATTACATTTTATAAACTCCCTAATCTTACGCTTTCACGTCAAGTCCACATAACCCACAAAACGTTGTGTTTTGGACCAGTCTATTGAGTGCCTTGTATTGGCCATTTGTACAGCGAGCTCAGCTTTTTGGTCCCACAGACCTTTGAAAGTGGTTTCGTGTTCGCATAGTCTTTTGTGAATTTGTCGGTATATGAGCACAAAACCTTGTAACAGTCTGATCTAGAAAGAGAATCTCCATTTCCTCAGTAGTTAACCCAACTTTTTCGCAAGCTGACAAGAAGGCAAAATCAGGAACCGAGTAGAATTGTCCAGTTGCCTATCTCGCACCTGATAGCAAACTCCTTTAATCTTGTTAAGTACAATTGATATGTAATTGTCTACTAACACTAATGGGTAATTGTTTTGAAACAGTAAACCCATCAGTTTACCTATCTCCTGATCCCCATGGTTTACATCTGCCAGACGCAGACTCCTGATTATCATAGCCCTTATTTTACCTAATAACTACATGACCCAATTTGAAGTTCGGGGGTTTCAAGAGACACTCCTAATTCCAAAGTTATTAGTTCGCTATATTTTATGATTAATTTCCTGCTTGGCAACACGACAAAAAGAGAAGTTGTTTGACCTTGGTTTTGAAACTTGGTCATATTAGCAGGAAAACCTAGGAGAACGCACCTTGTCCAGAGTACATAGTAAATATGATCATTTCCAGAGTCGGACCGTGGATTTGGTACGTTCCCAAGCGTTTCGCCGGCATCGTAGTCGACATCCTCAGTGAGTCTTGCCAGTTTCCTACATTTCGAGTGCGTGATCCTACTCTGGTCTCCTGTCCGGATCTGCCTTATGGGCCCGTGGGTCCATTTCTTATCTTTATAGTTGACCGATTTCACTCTGTTCCAGCCCCAGCGTACTTTTACTCCAGGTGCTATTTTTCAAGGCTTCAGTAGCACGTACAAAGTTGACTTATCTTCTGAGTACCTAGACTCTGATTTCCATGCCTGCGGATATTAGGCATTTCCTTCACGCATCCTCCCTAGCTTAAGCCCGTATACTCTGAGCAAATTGTGGATATCTATGTGTGGTCGCCTGCTGCATCCCAAGTGGATTACTAGCCCAATTGATCACAATGCCCGATTTCTGTGACAAAATCCCTCTCCCTAGTCAAGTGAAGCGTTAGAAGTTGTGACAGGACGAGGGCCAGATTAGAGGGTATGAAATGGATAGAGGGACCATGACAAAACGAGGAGTGATAGTATAATCGTCTCGACCGAAAGTTAGTCAAGTGATTGACCTCATTTGTATCTTTGACGATTTGTAGCTTGGTTGTTGAGCTTGACAAGATTTGCTGACGATGCCGGCGAAACGTCTGGGAATGGACTAAGTCCACGGTCCGACTCTAGAAGTGATCATTCATACTATGTACTCGAGACGAGGTGCATTTCTCTAGGTCTACCTGCTAATATGACCAAGTTGCGAAACCAAGGTCAAACAACTTCTATACAACGAAAGGAGACTGAGACCATACTAAAGGCCACACCGTCTTGGTCTTCATACCTTCAGCAAAAATAGATTGGGGGAATTCCTTCAGCTAATAAATAGAATAGATGAAAATACTTAGTTTACTATGGAGTTAGAAAAGGAAAATAACTAGCCTTTTTTGCATGTATTACTAAGCAAAGAAGGTAATAAGTTAGGTAGAGACGTATATGGCAAAGCCACTGACGCAGGTTTCCTCATTAATTTTTTTTAGAACCATACATATAAAGGTAAAAATAGGAATTATGAAGTCTATGATAATAAGGAGTCTGCGCCTAGCAGATGCAAGCAATAGGGACCAGGAGATAGGTAGACTGGTGGATATACTGTATCAAAACAATTACCCATTAGTGCTAGTAGACAATACATATCAATTGTACTTAACAAGATTAAGGGAGTTTGCTATCAGGCGCGGGATAGGCAACTAGACAATTCTACTCGGTTCCTGATTTTGCCTTCTTGTCAGCTTGCGAAAAATTTGGATTAACTATTGAGGAAATAGAACATAACATCAATGAACATAGAGAAATTAACTCTTTATTCTGTAGCTCCTTCGTTTATAGAATATTCAGACCCTCTTTCTAGATCAGGCTGTTACAAGGTTTTGTGCTTATATGCCGATCCATTCACAATAGGCTATGCGAACACAAAACAACTTGTAAAGGTCTGTGGGAACAAAAAGCTGAGCTCGCTTTAAAAATGGCCAATACAAGGAACTCAATAGACTGGTCCAAAACACAACGTTTTGCGGGTTACAGAGACTTCAAGTGAAAGCGTAGTATTAGGGAGTTTATAGAAATTAATAAAATAGCCAACTTCCTGAATAGGAGGAACGA